GGAAAAGCAGGGGTCCCAAATTGGATCCCTGTGGCACTCCCGAAGAGACGACATATGGCGATGACCGGAAATGCTCATATTCAACAAACTGAGTGCGTCCAAATAGATAAGATTTCAACATTAGCAAGAGTGATTGCGACACGCCAAAGTTCTCGAGTTTACGAAGCAGTATATAAAGGTCAATTTGATCAAAAGCCTTCTGGAAGTCCGTATAAATGACATCCAATTGACCCCTTGAGTCCAGTGTCTCACAGGCGACCTGGGACAAGGACGCTAAATTGGTCGTGCAAGAGCGCGAATCCAAAAAGCCGTGCTGATAAGGAGAAAGAAGGTTTCTAACCTTAGGATACAGTTTGTTGTAAATAATAATCTCAAATAGCTTAGAGAAGTTACAAAGGATTGAGATGGGTCTATAATTTTTTATTATTGTGTTGTCGCCCTTCTTGAAAACAGGTATAATTTTTGCCGTTTTCCAGGTATCTGGAAAAATACCTTTAACAACAATTAAGTTGAAAACATGCATAAGTGGAGCAGAAAGGACACCAATGCAGTCTTTCACTATGAAGCTGGGTATTCCATCAACACCGGATGTCAACTTATCCTTCAGCCTTTTACTGGCAGCTATAATGTCCTGAAAAGTTATTGATTGTATATTTATTATATTCGAGTTTAGCATGGCGGATTCAGTGTCATTGTAAGGAGAAGAATTAATGTATACACCTCTAAAATAATTTGCAAACGCATCAACAATGCTCTGAGGATCCGCGTACTCACTGTTGTCGTCCCTCAAGTTACCAGGAATGCCAGTATGTCCCTTTTTACTTTTTACAAATGTCCAAAAGGCTGAAGGGTCAGAGGCTATGTTCATTTCAGTGTTTCTTATATACTCTCTGTACGCAAGGTCACTTTGAGTATGAATAAGACGTCTAAGCGTACAAAGTCTTTGGTAGTAAAACTGTGTTTTATGTTGTTTATAATTTTTATGTGCTTTCTCTTTTTTGTATATATTTTTTATTAAATCGCTCGAGAACCAAGGCGGGAAGCGACGGCGGCGTTTGACCTTTGACGGAACGCAAGATTCGAATATGTTCCCAATATTTGGTTAAGTGTTACACAGCAAGTGTTGACATCTGTACATTCAAGTACTGGTAACCAGTCAGTTTCCAGCATCAAGTTATATAAACGCCGGATATCGGCTTTCCTGAAGTTGAACTCCCTAGGACTATTTTTATTAATAGGAAAATTATTAATCGATGGATGCCTAGCATTAAAAGTTATGAAAAGAGATGGATGATGAGTGTCCTCATCGACTAATGGTGCATCACCGTAACGTACTATGTCGCAAGCTATATTTGAAAATACCAAATCCAGCAATCGATTATTTACATTAGTAACACTATTTGCTTGTTTCACATTCAAAATATTTGCCAAATTAAAAATTAGGTTACATTTGGGATCGATATTATTATTGCTCACATAACTAGGTATGTTAAAATCTCCCAAAATAATTAAATTGCTATCAAACAAATTATTTACAGTCAGTATGCAGTCCACAAATTCCTCCAAATCAGCTGCACTGATGTGTGGTGGGATATACACAAGTATTAAATAAACGACAAAAGAATTAAAGTTTATTTTACAACCCACAACATCCACAGCAGAGGCACTGCTATTTAAAAACGTAAGATCGAGTCTCTGAGAAGTCCAGCGGCGATTTACGGCCAGCACGACCCCTCCACCTCTAGAGAGTCCCGTAGCTCGAAAATCACGATCTGACCAAAACACGGAGTAAACAAGGGGAAACAGTTCAGCATCGAACACTTCTGGCTTCAGCCACGATTCAGTCACTGCAATGATGTCCATATCACAAGATGATACGCCATTAAGAAATACGTGCGTTTTGGTGTTAAGGCCACGCACATTCTGATAATAGCAAGATATATAAGTGGATTGCACTGTTGGAACACTCAGTTTTTTGAGAGTATCCTAGGTCTACCCTTGGAATACCCTATAACTAGGTTCGCTTCGCCATTTGCTCGGCGACGTCTCAGTTCATCCTGTAGGGATTTCAGCTCGGCTCTTTGTGAGATTGTTTGGTCAGCCTCAATGTAAATGTGATGGTCTTTAATTATTTTTCCTCTGTTTTTCAAGACGTTAGGAACGGACTGTCTGTCCTGAAGAATGACTTTCATTGCTTGACGACAGAGCTGGGCAAAGCCCTCAGTAAAAGGGCTTGAAGCACTAAGCCCTAAATCAAAGTGCTTCAATTTCAAGCACAAATTCCTTTTTATTTTTAAAAGTGCTTGACAAGCACAAAGCCCTCAAAGTGATTTGAAAAGTGCTTGAAGCACATCAAAAGTGCTTGAGGTGCCTTGAAAAGGGCTTCAAGCTCTTTAAATGTGCTTCAAGCTCTTTAAATGTACTTGAAGCTCTTTAAATGTGCCTAAAGCACTTTGAATTTGTAATAAAATTCTCAAAGTGGCATAAGCTACCGCGTAAACTCATCACACAGAATTGGTATAGTAGAGACGAACTTTACATTTCACAGAGTAGCAGTAGTATGTTTTTTTTTGAGATGTAGTTCTGGGGTAGGTACTTGGGGTACTACATGGTACTTCAATTTTAAGGTTTCCAAAATGTTCAATGGGGAAAAGTGGAAAAAATCCAGTGATAAAGTTAAATAGGGTACCAATATAAATTAATTATTTATTTTAATAATAAGTTCATTCATTTTTTTTTTAAATTCAATTCTAAGCTCGAACCCAAAACCTCCATTGTTAAGAGAGAAAAGACATAAGACGGTTCAAGTTCAAATAAAAGAAAAAAAAATTAAGGGACAAAACACGATCGAAAATTTTTAAGTGGGAGGTTGAATGATGGTCAATTCAAATTCCTTTCAAAGTGCTTCAAGCCCTTTTAAAGTGCTTCAAGCCCTTTTAAAGTGCTTCAAGCCCTTTCAAAGTGCTTCAAGCTCCCAAAAGTGCTTCAAGCCCTCTTAAAGGGCTTCAAGCTCCCAAAAGTGCTTCAAGCCCTCTAAAAGTAATTGAAGCTCATTGAAAGGGCTTGAATTACTTTTTTCAATTACAAATTACCAAGCACTTTTCTAAAGTAATTGACTTTGCAAGCCCCAATTACAAATCTATAAAAGGGCTTGAAGCACAGGGCTTTCAAGCCCTCAAAGTGCTTCAAGCACTTTCGCAAGCACAAAGCACTCAAGCCCTGCCCAGCTCTGCTTGACGACCGTTTCGATTGGGTTTTCCGACTTTAATGACATTCAAAACGCTTATAGTTTGGGTACATGCCTCACTGAGAACTTAAGGGCCCAATTAGGAGCTGAGGCTGTACCGCCCTTATTGGCAGGATTCTCAACCTGAAATTTTTAGGGTAGATGGAGGGTCCATAGGGCTACCTAAATCTACCCTCAAACTTGGGTTACATACGCAGGCTTTATAAGAAAAGAATTAATTTCGATTAAAGGCCTAATTAGGAGCTGAGTCCGTACCGCCCTTATTGGCAGGATTCTCAACATGAAATTTTTAGGGTAGATGGAGGGTCCATAGGGCTACCTAAATCTACCCTCAAACTTGGGTTACATACGCAGGCTTTATGAGAAAAAAATTAATTTCGATTAAGGGCCCAATTAGGAGCTGAGGCTGTACCGCCCTTATTGGCAGGATTCTCAACCTGAAATTTTTAGGGTAGATGGAGGGTCCATAGGGCTACCTAAATCTACCCTCAAACTTGGGTTACATACGCAGGCTTTATAAGAAAAGAATTAATTTCGATTAAAGGCCTAATTAGGAGCTGAGTCCGTACCGCCCTTATGGGCAGGATTCTCAACATGAAATTTTTAGGGTAGATGGAGGGTCCATAGGGCTACCTAAATCTACCCTCCAACTTGGGTTACATACGCAGGCTTTACAAGAAAAAAATTAATTTAGGTTATTTTCACGATCTCCGAGTTTCCCGTACATTCTTTCGAATTCCGGCCGGACTTCCCCGGATAATTTTTTTCTTATAAAGCCAGCGTATGTAACCCAAGTTTGAGGGTGGATTTAAGTAGCCCTATGGACCCTCCATCCACCCTAAAAAATTAATGTTGAGAATCCTGCCGATAAGGGCGGTACGGCCTCGGCTCCTAATTAGGCCTTTAATCAAAATTAATATTTTTCTTATAAAGCCTGCGTATGTAACCCAATTTGGAGGCCAGATTTAGGTAGCCCTATGGACCCTCCATCTACCCTAAAAATTTCAGGTTGAGAATCCTGCCAATAAGGGCGGTACGGACTCAGCTCCTAATTAGGCCCTTAATTGAAATTAATTTTTTTCTCATAAAGCTTGCGTATGTAACCCAAGTTTGAGGGTAGATTTAGGTAGCCCTATGGACCCTCCATCTACCCTAAAAATTTCAGGTTGAGAATCCTGCCAATAAGGGCGGTACAGCCTCAGCTCCTAATTGGGCCCTTAATCGAAATTAATTTTTTTCTCATAAAGCCTGCGTATGTAACCCAAGTTTGAGGGTAGATTTAAGTAGCCCTAGTGGCCTTTTACGTATCCCGAAAGTTTCAATTTTAAATTCCGCATATTAAGAAAGTTGGATGTCGACATCGATTACGTGCACATTCCTATTCTTTATTATTATTTCAACGTAACCTCTAAAATAATGAAACTTATAAATAAATTGTGTTTATTGTGTTTATTTTATGGTAATTTTTCTATTATATAGTTCGATTTTTCTTATAATAATCAAAAATAATCGGAAAAATATTCAATAAAATAATCAAGTCAGCCAAGGAGCCAGCTTCACAGAAGCGACTGCGTTCCCGAATACATGTACTAATTTTTAGGAGCTGGCATTTTAGGAGCTAGCGTAACGAACGTTTTTGAAATTTGAAAGCTTCCCAATATTTTTGTTTGTTGAGGGATTGGTGACGGAATTGGACTGGGCTTATATGAATTTTGAAACTGCTTTGTTAAATCTGTCTTACTCTACTACTTACCGCATTTCGAAATTCAATGTGCTCTTGTGCAAACCATAACAAGTATTTTTTCCAACTTTTAGCCATCACGCATAATTATGATAAACCAGTTTTAACTTAAAAAATTAATTAAAACTTCAAAACAACAACAAAAATTTCCCTCTTTCTTCATCAATTTGGTTCTTGAAGAATAGTTTACAATTAACTAACCCTAATTTAAGCCATAGTTGAGTTCTAAAAACTGGTGTTCTAAAAAAAAAGTCAAAAGAAAACAAAGAAAATAATAATAAGTGGGGTTATGTATAGTATTTGTGGCAGATCGACGGAGGCTATGTTCCGATAGTAGCTGGGTTCGGCTTGCACACTCCGTGCACTCCGAGTGACTCCGTTCGCACTCCAGCCGTTCGGGTATTGCCTTTTTTACGAATCAGACAACGGCTCGAGTGCGAACGGAGTCACTCGGAGTCAGGGTTGGCAGGATATATATCAGTGATAAATATCCTGATATACAGGGTGTCCACTTAGTGCGATATCTGACGATATCTCCTTACAGGGTGATGCGAGAAAAAAAAATTAAATTACAAAGTTGTTTGATACTCTAATAGGCATTAGTTAAAAATATTTTCGAATATACAGGGTGCTCCGTTTATGGAGTATGAGACAGAACTTTGTTATTTCAATTAAGACATATATCATATATGATTGCATATTTGGATTCTACGTAAAATTCTGAGCAGAATTCATGTAATATACCCTGTACCTAAGTTCAAATGTTTTGGAAATATTGACAGTTGAAAATTGACTTTTTGCAACTTTGACAGGCTGTAAAACCTAAACGGCTAATTTTAGACGAAAACCGATTTTACATTCCTATCTTGGATTTTTATAAACTATCATTTGACACCAACTCCGAATTTATCCGGAGATTGAATTTAACTGGAAATTTTTTTCATAGATTAAATTCTAAGTTGGTGTCAAATGATAGTGTATAAAAATCTAAGACAGGAATGTGAAATCTGTTTTCCTCTAAAATTAACGGTTTAGGTTTTACAGCCTGTCAAAGTTGCAAAAAGTCAATTTTCAACTGTCAATATATCCGAAACAGTTGAAGATAGGTATAGGACATGCTTCATGAAGAACACTTAGAATTTTATCAGAAATTCGAAAATGTAAAAAAAATTAGGGGTATCCATTTAAAAAAATTAAGTTACTACCTGTCCAGCTTGTCTGCGACCACCCTGTATAATAATCTTATTTTATAAAAAATGCTCGACAAAAAATTAAATTGACGTGTTCGAGGATTTTTTTAAAAATTCCTTGGAAGAATGATTATTGAATTTATTCCTTACTTTACGACCGCACTGTATATAGTTACCTACTACATTTTTGACTTGGGGAATTATCTTAAAAAAAAAAAACAGACATAAAGCCTAGTACTTATAACTGCGAAATTTGCATTTTTTTGACATTGCTTCGACAATTTGACGTTTGATACACGCATAAAACGTCAAATTGTCAACGCAATGTCAAAAAAATGCGAATTTCGCAGTTATGAGTACTAGGCTTTAGGAAGGATTTTCATGCATCCGTTTTTCCGACGAAATATGTCCGTTTAACATTCTATTCTGACATAATCGTATATAAATATGTCAAAATAGAAAACTTTTCGGACATATTTCGACGGAAAAACGGATGCATGAAAATCCTCCCTAAAGCCTAGTACTCATAACTGCGAAATTCGCATTTTTTTGACATTGCTTCGACAATTTGACGTTTGATACACGCATAAAACGTCAAATTGTCAACGCAATGTCAAAAAAATGCGAATTTCTACTAGGCTTTAAGCCTAGTACTCATAACTGCGAAATTCGCATTTTTTTGACATTGCGTTGACAATTTGACGTTTTATGCGTGTATCAAACGTCAAATTGCCGAAGCAACGTCAAAAAAATCCGAAATTCGCAGTTATGAGTACTAGGCTTTACTCATAACTGCAAAATTCGCTCTTTTTTGACAATTGCTTCGACAATTTGACGTTTGATTCACGCATAAAACGTCAAATAGAATCAGAATAAAAGCTTTCCCTTGATTATTTCGCACTTTTCGACACAAAACACGTCGTAATTTAAATTAGGAACGAACAGAAAACATCAACACTCTGACAAACTATTCTACCTGAGTAGCGCTAAGTGGTATCACCACGTTCCGCTACTGCGCTGGCAGTCCGGTTCCAACAATGAGTAACAGATAGCATGATGGCGCCTCCAGGATCAAAATATTCCGGAGGTAAAATACCCGACCACTCGGATCTCCGGGCGTCGGGTGATCCTGGGGGTCCTTCATGCAAAGATATAAAGAGAAGATCAAAAACTCAACTCAGAATTGATTTTAGCAATATAAGAGGAATAAGTACAAATATGAATTCAGTTCACCAACATCTTGAAGAACAAAGACCTGACATCCTTGTTCTCACTGAAACTAAAATCAGTTCTGCAACACCTAGTGTGAACTATCTTTATCCCGGCTATGACCTACACCACCGATTTCGACATAATTTTGGGATCTGTGTGTACCGTGCGTTCAATTTATCTTGATAACATTTTAATTCGCTGTAACTTTTTTGTTTTTGAAGGTATCAAGGTAAAAAAAAAAAAATGTAGGGTTAGTAGCCAAGTTTTTTTTCAAGTTACCTATAAAACAAAACACTATCAATTTTCTGACATATAAGCCAACATTATATTTTTTTAAATGGAACACCCTGTATATTATATTAGTGTTTGATAGAATATCTTATTCCGATTACAATGATATAATACACTCCATATTTTAGTCCACTCGTTTTTGACAAATCGGCAAAAATATATGAAATTTTTGAAGTGAAACTTATTAGGCGGCGATCTGATATTTGGGGAGAGAATCATTGATAGTGCATATAAAAATATCATATTTTTGCCGATTTGTCAAAAACGAGTGGACTAAAATATAAAGTGTGTTATATCATTGTAATCGAAATAAGATATTCTATCAAACGCATATATAATATACAGGGTGTTCCATTTGAAAAAATATAATGTAGGCTCATATGTCATAAAATTGATAGTGTTTTGTTTTAAAGGTACCTTGAAAAAAAACTTGGCTACCAACCCTACATTTTGTTTTTTGTTTACCTTGATACCTTCAAAAACAAAAAAGTTACAGCGAATTAAAATGTTATCAAGATAAATTGAATGCACGTACATTAAAAATGACCTTTCATGTCATCGAGAGGAGAAGCTAGAAACAGCGAACCTTGATATCATATGGCTAAAATTCACCTCAAAGTCATCGACCAAGTTTATCTGCTGCCTCTACCGACCGCCAAGTAACACCGATTACCAAAACTTTTTCGCGACATTATCCGAAAGCTGTGATAGTATACAGTCAAACTATCCACAGGCGGAAATTGTCTTTTTAGGCGATTTCAACGTCCACAATATACCCTGGCTGAAACACCACAACAAAACAGATAACGAAGGCAGAGAAGCAGAAGCTTTTGCCATAAGTTGTGGTCTAACGCAGCTTGTCGATGAACCTACCCGTATCTCAGAAAGGGGCGAATTTGCAGCGCTTTTAGACTTGTTCCTAACCACCAATCCTGACTCGTACACAATTCAAGTAGATGCTCCACTTGGTTCGTCCGATCATAAACTTATAATAACAAAGTGCGAAATGCTCATCCCACCAAGCCTACAACCACTTCCTCGTAAAATGTGGCACTATAAATCGGCAAAATGGAATGACCTAAAACAGTATTACCTGGATTTTCCATGGCAAGAGGTTTGCTTTAAAACAGCTGATCCCACTATTTGCTGTACTGAAATAACACAAGTAATCTTATCTGGAATGGACGCATATAGGGGAGACTGTTGTATACTGGGACAATATTTTTCTAATTGAAATAAAAAATTTGTTGAATAATTTTTAACTATTGTGAATATTCTAATATATTTAAAAGTAGTTTGTTTATTAACAATTATAAAAATTTCTATAACTTTTACACTTTAACATAGAAAAAATTGAATCTCCCACTATACACCACTTTCCCACTATGCAACCACCCCATGTTGCATACTGGGAACGATGCATGTGTATAGTGGGACAATGTTTTTTGATCCCAAATAAGTAAATATAAAAAGAAAATTCGGTCGCTTATTCACAAAATTATAGAACTTCAACATAAATTAGGTAGGTAGCCAAACTTATTTCGAATTCGAAAAAGTTTGAACCATTCTTCTATACGGCGATTTCATTTTCCGTCCATGTTTTTGGATTTATTTTAATTTGCGAAGGCAAATCTATAAGCCAACATTCTAGTTTTTCTGCTAGTTAAACCGTAGCACCTTTGAGAAGAAGTAACTGGATATTTGCTAAGCATTGGCTTTTCATCGTCACTGAAAATCTGCTTGACACCCAATGACACCATGTTGCCTTTGAAATTTAATCCCTGCGTGTTTGCTTCATTTATTTTGTGCTTCTTTCTATGCAAGGCTGATTTGCTAACTCCAAATTGAACTACAGCAGTCCTAATATTGGTTTCATTTTTAAGAACAGCATCTACCGCCGAGTCCCTCCCCAGCATTCTCAAGGTGAATTTTTCGACTCTCAAAAAACGATTTCTTGTTTTTCCGGCTCCTATTATTATCAATTTCTGGAAGAAAGGAGGTATTGAAACTAGGTAAAATACAAAAGTGTTCCATTATAGAGCATATAAAATGTTTGTCCCAATATGGAACCCGGAAATTCTGTCCCAGTATACACTGTCCCACAATACAACCTTATACGTTTTTTGAAATTTTCTGAATTTGAGAAAATATAAACAAATACTAGCAAAAAATAACCTTAATTCACCTTCAAGACACCTTCTGGCATAATTATCCTCAAATTCAGGACAAACTATTGGATATTACTGGCATAAACTTTGCCCAACACGTGGTCGTAAAAAAAAACTTTGTCACTTTAATGCTTACACTAACGAAAATCCCGCCATATTTAAGACTCTAACGGCCAATGCCAAGGTTATATCTAATGCTCATATATAAAGCAGTTGACACAATTTTTTTCGGAATTTTAAGCGATACCGGTGGCGGACAATTTGAATTGTCCCACTAAGGAACCTGTCCCACTATACAACAGTTTCCCCTATCCCACATACAACTAAACGTAGAGTTAATGCAAAACCTTGGTTCAACAGCCAGTGTCAAACGGCTGTACAGATAAAACACAGAGCATATAACCTTTGGAAACGACAACAAACCGCTCAAAACCACACAGAATTTATAGAAGCCAGAAATAGTTGCAAAATCACTATTGACTCCGCTAAAGAAACATACAATCAAAGAATAAAAAACAGGTTGCTGAATTGTCCAAGTAGTTCTAGGTCCTTTTGGTCTCTTGCAAAAGCTGTTGGATCTAACTTCACCAAGTCATCCATACCACCACTTACAGATAAAAATAATCACTTAGCCACAACATCAGAGGAAAAAGCCAATATGCTTGCCCAAATGTTTTCCTCCAACTCCAACCTAACAGTGCCAAACGGAAAAACTCCACCGTTCATTGAAAGGGTTTCCCATAGTATGCCAGAGGTACCCTTTTGTCACAGAGAAATACGAAAATCCCTAAAAAAGCTGGATACAAACAAAGCAATGGGTCCGGATGGCATTCCCGCAATAGTACTCAAAAATTGCGCCAACGAACTCACCCCAACTTTCGCAAAATTATTCAATTTGTCTTACAGGCAAGGAGTATATCCATCATCATGGAAGTCTACCGCAGTACAACCCATTCCAAAGAAAGGAAAAAAGACAGATCCGTTAAACTATAGATCAATTGCTCTACTTCCGGTGATATCAAAAGTAATGGAAAGAGTTGTGAACAATCACCTAACCAAGTACTTGGAAAAGTACAAAATTATCAACGATAAGCAATACGGATTTCGAAAATATAGGTCAACTGGCGATTTACTTACATACGTCACTCACTTATGGCAAAAAGCGATTGAGTTGCGGGGTGAAACAAGAACAATTGCCTTAGATATATCTAAAGCATTCGACATAGTTTGGCATGAAAATCTGCTCAACAAGCTCAAAGCAATGGGATTATCGCCGAAACTTTGCACTTGGTTTGAAAGTTACCTAAAGGACAGATCCATTTATGTTGCACTGGATGGCCAGAACTCCAACTCTTACCAAATAAATGCTGATGTGCCACAGGGAGCAATCCTTTCGCCAACTCTTTTCCTGATTTACATAAATGACCTCATAGATAAAACAGTAAATCCACTTTATTGCTTTGCAGACGATGGCAATGTAGTCTCCTCACTCATACCACCCACAGGTTTTTCCGCACGTGAATTCCATCATCTTAGACTAACTCAAATATCGCAGATAAATAACGACCTGGAGATAATAGAGGACTGGGGTAACAAAAACCTTGTACAGTTCAACGCGCAGAAAACCCAAGCAGCTCTGTTTTCAAAAAAGACCAGCACCGGTGAGCCAAACATCATGCTATCTGGAAGTGCTGTCACATTACAGAGTCAGTTGAACATCTTGGGGGTTACTGCAGAGACCAACATGTCTTGGCACAGTCACGTGTCAGATATTGCTAAAAGGGCCTCCCAAAAGCTGGGGGTGCTATTTCGTACAAGACATCTGTACACAGTACACACCAAGCCAATTGCTGACACTCTACAAAGCCCAGATTCGACCAACTATGGAGTACTGCTCACATATATGGAGTGCAGCACCCAAACATACCTTAATGCTTTTGAATACCGTGCAAAAACGAGCTATCAAGCTGATCAATGACCCCGCACTTACTCGTAACTTGGATGGTCTCGAACATCGCAGATCTGTGGGCGATTTATCTCTCTTCTACAGGTACTATCACGGAAAATGCTCTGAAGAGTTGGCACGTATGATTCCACCGAGAGTAGCACCTACCAGGCGAACCCGTCAAACAGACGGTAACCATGAATTTACTGTCAAACTAGAGGCACCAAGAACCTCATTATATCAGAATTCATATCTCTGGAGAACAGCATCGCTGTGGAATAAACTCCCTGCGACGGTTTTCCCTGCAGGTTACAACCTGAACCGTTTCAAGACTAACATACACCGACATTTCCGCGCACTTGCCGCTAATGCCGCTTCTCGAGCGTGATAGGACATTTCCTTGCGAGTGCGCATATCTGTAAAAAAAAAAAAAAAGAAATACCTTCACACTCCATTTCTAAACGCACTCTAGTAGTGCAGTTGTATTCCTTTCAAGAGTTTGAAACACTCGAGCTACTCGCTCCGGTGTTTAGTAGCCACCGATTTGCAGGGAACAGATGCGTGGTGCGACAAACACTTTACGAAAGGAATAAGAACGTGAAGCCCCGGAGCTGTTCCGGAGCTCCTCCTAGGTGTGAAAGGAATACTACAACTTGTGTATCATCCTTGCTGGAACGCAACCGGTTGAGCGATCAGCTGATTGATAATGATTGATTATATTAGGCGATTTCGGCAAGCTTCGGTACATGGTTTGGTACCCTGTTTGGTCTGTCAAATGCATACCAACCAATTTCGGATACGAAAATGATGTCGTCACCGTGACTTTGGTATCCTTTTTGGTCAGTCAAATAGGATACCGTGGTCAGCAGCACGGTTCTTCTATTTGGTATAGCGCTATCTACGTCTATTTTCGTTTTGTCCTGCTCTGGGAAATGTAAATAAATGGAAGTTCATTAGAATTTGAATAATAATTGGAAATTTTTAGCAAATATGTTTGTTTTTTCGCCTTCATCTTCCTGTTTTTTCGTATGTTTTGACTGCCAAATAATGTTTGACTATCATTTAAAAAATAACTTTGAACGACAGATATGGGGTAACTTTTTTGCTGAATGGATTATGGAATATGCTTTAAATTTACAGAAAACGCTGAGTTAGCCAATAGGTTACTCAAAGGTACTGTTTAGACAGTGCTGATTAGTGATTATAGGTTTTAGTCAGTGCAGTCAGTACCTAGTCACTCCCAAAACTAGAAGAACAACACAAAGTTAGGTTAAGGCTCGTCTCTTCCTCTCTCATGACCTACCAAACGAATTCGGAACAAAATGGTATCTTACGTCATTACTATGACGTTGCAGGTACCAATTGGTTAACCAAATGGTATACCAACCAAAGCTTGCCGAAATCGCCTATTGTTTATTTTTTTTTGAATTTAGAATTTAGAATAATGTTTTTTGCGTTTTTTGGAGTCTGAGCCGAGTTCGTATGATGCCGCATTTTCAGTTCCACCAGAATTTGTTTTTTGTTTTAGTCGATATTTTTCAAACAGGCACGGTTCAATGCCATCGGCTAATCTAACATAACTATAAAAAATAATTTCATTTGAATTGGCGAATTTTGAAATTTTTAAAAATGCTAGCTACGCATAAAAAAAGAAAAAACGTGAATTAGAAAAGAAAATAACTCTACGTAAGAGGTTTTTAAGTAAGTAGAACATTATTTCCTTTCAAGAATTATAAAACGGAAGCACAGAAAATTATATTTTTATATTTTTAACCATAAGTACAGTAAATAGAGACAAATAAATCGCATTTACTAAAAAAAAAATACTTAATGGCTGAAATTTTGTCCTGTTTATGTTTCTGTACTTGAGAGTATGTTAGAAAGCACCGTGCCAAATCTGAGGTAGGTGGATGACCGGGAAGTTTTTTTCAATTTTTCGTGGGTTTAGATATTGTCGAATTTTTCCAGCTAACATTGTAGTTAGATCAATGGACGTAACTAAGTCTCTGGAATTTGAAAAAAAAAAACAGACGTGGTGGCTGTTCCAACTTCATATTTCTGTACTTGAAAGTACGTTAGAAAGCACCGCACAAAATTTGAGGTAGGTGGATGACCGGGAAGTATATTTTCCTTGTAGATGATACTTGGAAAAGTGAAAAGTAATCGTCCTATGACCTTGATTGTATTATCATTAGATAGATAATTTTATTTCCCACAAATTTGATCTCTCGGACTTGACGGTACGGGCAATAGCACCGAAGATAAGGAATTAAAACGAACTCAACTCTACATAAAGAGGGGGTAGTATCTTCCCCCACCCCCTCGAATACGAAAACTCAGTTTTAGACTCAGGACATGCCCCCGAACACACCCTCAAAATTTCAGCCATTAAGTATTTTTTTTTAGTAAAATATCCCTATTTACTGTACTACATGGTTTCAAATAAAAATGTTGTTTGAAAGTCAGGGTACTTATTGTATAGTGTTTTTTAAGTAACCTCAAAGTTTCGACAATAATTATAATTATAAATACCTAATATATCGTAGTTGAAACTTGATGCAGGTTCTTTTGAAGGTAACTGAATGAAACTGACTAAATTGTACTTTCCGGAATAAGTAATAACTGTTTTTTGGCTGTTCTTTGAGGCTACGCTACGATACAAACTTCTTTCTGCACCAGTGCACACTCAAAAATATACCTATACCTATACAGGCTCTTGAACTTTCCTTATTTTTTTCTTTTAATTCAAACTTCACGACTCTTCAACTTTTTTCTATTCCAGGACGCATTTTTCCTAATTTTCTTTCATTTACAGAAGAAAAACATAAGCAATGTTTTAAAGCCTAAAATAAATAAATATATTTAAATGGAAAAACGAAAATAAAGAGAGGAAAAATGAGAAATACTTGGAAAAATATGTATGTACAGGGTGGGCCAAATTGGACAGTTTCTTATGGAAACACCCTTTATTTTAAGAGATAGAAAATGGACCCCACACTCTGAGGCTCAAATTTCATGAAATCTTGATTGGTGCAAACCGCATTTTAATATCTTAAACCGTTTAGCCGCTAGAGGGCGATTTTTGATTCTGAGCAATACTGTAAAGCCTCCATAACTTTTTTGGTAATGAAAATAATTTATTTCCGTACAGACCTTTTGGAAGCACTTTTTCAAGCAGAATTCAGTGACATTCTCAGTTTTTTCCTGTTTGGCTTCGATTTCGAGATATTGACTTAAATCCAATTTTTTTCTCTATATATTAATAGTTCATTAGAAGGCTATGCTTTCGCTGATATCAAATCAAATATGCTTTATGCTTTATTGTCCAAAATACAGGGTATTCATTGACAAAGCCTTATAACTACTTATAAGTATGTATAAATGTCACTAGTACTTCTAAAAAATATAAAAAACAAATACTTAAATCTAGTGTTTATCTTTTTTTTCCGTTCTTGATTACATTCCACATCAATTTAAAAATTAAAACAATACAGATTAAAATTAAAATACAAAAATAACATAAAAAAAAAACATTACAAATTTAGATAAAACAAATTAGATAAAACAATCACAACTATACAGATGTGGCTCCCACAATAGGTACATCACAGCAGGAAAAGCAATACAAACAGCAAAACTTTGAGCATAAGACGAAAATTGTACTTAAATTTAAAAGCTGCACAATTCAAGCTCGAGAGCTGTCTTGATAAAATTCCTCTAGGCTATAGTATGCCTTACCAGCAAGGAGGTCCACCACGGCCTTTCGAAATGGTTTATATGGCAAAGATCTACAGGTCACATTAAGATGGTTGTAAATCTTAATACTCTCGTACATTATAGAGCGCTTAGTTAAGGTAGACTTTGGGATTGGAAGACGAATATTAGAACTCAGCCTGGTATTATAAGCATTCTGTCTATTATCCCAAGTGACACCACCTGAGTACTTCCGGTGTATTATTAAACAAACCGTTTCTAAAATAAACAAACATATCACAGTTAAAACCTTGAACTTAACAGATAATGGTCTGCAGTGATCCCTGGGATTCGCTCTGCACATATATCTAAGTACTCTCTTTTGAATAACAAATATAGAGTTCAGAAGTTGCAGACTACAAAAGCCTCAAAACACAATGCCGTATCTTAGACGAGACTCGAGCAAAGAATGGTATACCATCTTCGCCGCTGAAGAACCAAGCTCCACAGATACCACCCTGATCGCGAAGCAACTTGATGCCAATCTCTTGTCAAGCTCAGTAATATGTTTCTCAAACTTCAGCTTCTTATCAATATAAAGACCAAGAAACTTGGCATCCGTTCTGCTTTCTGTGGGTTTATCATCCATGGTAAGATCGTTAAGAGCAAAACCAAACGTCAAAATATTAGTTTTACTTATATTGAAACACAAAAAATTTGAGTCACACCAAGTCTTCATTTTTTTTAAGTCACTATCAACAGCATTTCTCAAATGTTCCTGATCTTTCGAGTGCCATAAAAGGGTGGTATCGTCCGCAAAAAGGGTAAATTTGCCCTCAATATCCAAACTTGTAACATCATTTATGTAGAGCAAAAACAATAATGGGCCTAGAACCGAACTTTGAGACACTAAAAAGTCCACACCAGATAAAGCAGAACAGCCTACGTCAGTCTTCACAAACTGCGACCTTTCTGAAAGATATGACTCAAACCAACGATGTTCTGCATTGCGGATACCATAGTGATGAAGCTTTGCAGCAGGATTCGATGATTAACACAGTCAAAAGCTTTAGAGAAATCGCAAAACACCGCGGCAAGAGCCTCGCCTTCATTCAGACTAAGATATATATTCTCGAGCAGTGAGAATATGGCATCGCTGGTGTTTTTGGATGCTTGAAAACCAAACTGGCTGGGTGTTATAAGGTTATTAGTCGTGAGGAAGTGCAGTAATCTTGATTTTACAAGCTTCTCGATAACCTTGGAGAGGGTGCTTAGGAGAGAAATAGGCCGATAGTTGGAGGGATCGTCAGAATCACCCCCCTTATGTAAAAGAATTACAAGTGCTTTTTTCAGGCACAGAGGAATTACTCCTGTTGGGAAAGAATTGTTGATGGCATCAACAAGAGCAGAAAGTGCCTCCAAAGGCAAGCATTCCAATATCCTGACGGACACACCATCAAACCCAGCTGAATGCTTGTTCTTTATTTGGCCAAGGATATTGTGCAGCTCATCAATGTCAATACAAGTCAGACAGAAATCCTCGTGAACCCACACATCGCGGAGATAATCAAGAGGATCCACCCGATTAGATAGGTTAGATGTTAACTTATGTGCTATAGAGCAGAAAAATTGGTTCAACGTATCCGGCTCAATAGGTACCGTGAAATGCAGGGAGTTATTTTTCCCTCTCAAGTTATTAATTACAGACCACTGCTCCTTGGATTTGTTGCCCGCTCTCTCTATTCGTTGATTATAGTATTCTCTCTTAGCATGCCTAATTAATTGTCTATATGTACGTCTGTATCGGTTGAAGTAATTAACAAAACATATATTATCCAGATGAAATTTTCGTATAGTGTGCAGGGATCTTAAATTTGTAGCAGAGATTTTTATACCTTTGCTAATCCAAGGTTTTGTTGTTTTTAACTTCAATTTTTTTAAAGGAAAACACTTATTAAAAACATGGCTCAATTTCACATGAAACGCTGTCAAGGGATCCCTAGATTGATGAGTGTCTTCCCAAGAGACTAACGCACACTGTTCATGAAAACCTCTGAAATTTCTCGAACTAAATATCCTACCCATTCTCGACCCCTCACCACGCTGATGACCCAGACAGGGAATACGAGCCACTATCGCCTCATGATCAGAGAGTCCAGAAGGCAGCGTTACACAGTCCAAGTCAAGATCAAAATTGGTGCAGATATAATCAATGAGAGTCGCTGACTGCTGAGTAATGCGTGTGGGTTCAGAAACATGCATTTTCAAATTAAAAGAATTAAAGACACTGCATAGCGACTGAGTTGATGTTGAGTCTTTATCATTAAAATTTATATTCAAATCGCCCGCCAATACTATTTTAGAATGTAATGGGAATTGCGACGCCAGAGCTTGGGGGTCTGTACAAGCATAAAATATATAAGTTGTAACCCTCCTCAAAAATGATCGAAAACTCAAACTCCCTCTCCACCAACAAATCCTCATACTTCACAACTGTGATCAAGGAAAGGTTTTTATAGGTCTTTTCGTTCACAAGAATCATAGTGCCTCCGTGCGTTGAGTCTTTCCGACAAAACGATGAAATCACAACGTAGTTAGAAATGTATAAAGTTTCATCTGGCTTAAGCCAGTGTTCTGTGAGAAGAACAAAATCAGGCCCCTGATGATGCTCAAGCAACACACCAAGTTCATCAGCCTTGCATCTTATGGATTGAATATTTAAAAGAAATAAAGAGGAAGATGTGCCAGCATTCGTTAAATGTACTTTTAGGTTGGGTTTTGAAACGACAGATTCTGGCCTAAAAAAGGATTTGAATTTGGAGCTTCTCCACTGGTTCCCGAGGCATGACCCTCTGTAGAGGTAGTTACATGAGAGCCCCCAGTGGCACTCTCAACCGTCCCCACCGAATTTATGCCCTGAGTCAGCTGTATCAAATTGCAAGTGTCAGAAGAACTCCTAAAACCAGTCAAAGTTCTCTTGATCACAGACGCCAACCTTAATAATCCTG